TATCTCAGCACTGAATTCACAGCACACTTGCAGTCTTCACTGTTCGGTTCAGGAGTCAGGACTTCATCAGCTTCAAGGCAGGTTTGTTCAAATGCTTGGAGAGCTGATGCTGCAAGCCTTGCTTGAGTTGGTCGCCCAAGGAACCCTTGAGCCACACTTCCTTTAGATGCCGCAGATGCTCTAGCCCAGAAAGCCGCATAGACGACCCACTAGAGCAGTGCACCTTAAGCACCTTAACAGAGTGGGTCAACCATTTACCTGGCAAAAAGGTTACCTGTAACTTGGAGGTACAATCTATCTCGAGTTCCCGTAAGAGGAAGTGGTAGGCATCTCCCTTGGTTGCAAGCTGGAGCTCGCCTTCTTGAATCGGCTTGACACATAGACGACGTAAGGCTTTACCCCTTGGCAACTCATCAAGGACGTCTATGTCTTGTTGCTTGAATATGGTCATCTCAAGATCCAGCCTTTCGAGGCTGTCAAGCTGCTTCATCCAGTTGTCTGGCAATATGTGTGCATACCCGTACAACTTGAGACTCTTTAACTTCTTTGGCGGCGGGGAGATCGTGCCATCGAAACAACAGAATAAACCCTCTTCCTTATCCTTGTCGACTTCGACTGACAAGTACTCAAGATGGCTGTGACCTGAGATGGCCGAACACAACTCCTTCAAGTTTTCCCGGTTGATGCCGCACAACCCGAGCCTGCGCAATTGAGAAAGAGTCTTGAGCTCCATCACTATGGCCTTCCCGCCTACACCACTGACGTTGACAACGCCAAGAGTATGTAAGGCCCTCAATTTCCCGATTCCTGCAGGAACCTCGACACCGCGACTATTAAGTTGTCGTCTTGTACAACACAACCTGGAAAACCAGCTAGATACCAAAGTATGTGGCCTTCTCCTTGACGGTGTTGATGTGCAGACCTCAGCTGGTCCAGCTGGTTGGCTTGAGCTGGTGCCATCACCTTCTTCTTCTGTTGGTGTCGATGTTCTGTCATCATCTGGTATTGATGTGCAGACCTCAGCTGGTCCTGCTGGTTGGCTTGAACGGTTGCCATCACCTTCTTCTGTTTGTGTTGGCGCTGCCGCTGCTGCTGGTTCTTGGCTTGAGCGGGTGCTAGCACCATCTTCTTCTGCTTGTGTCGATGTTCTGTCATCATCTAGTGTTGGTAGGCTGGTGACTCTACCACCTTCATTCCATGGTTGTTTACTTGTGCCGGCACGGATGTACTGTAGCTTTTGCAACTTGATGATGGCTTGTGGGAGTGCGGTTATGGAGGTGTGTCGGACATCCAGAGTTTGAAGCTGCCTCAGGCAAGACAATGATTTTGGCAAATGGGTAATCCCTCTGCGTCCTCGCAGGGAGAGGAACTTGAGACGAGGCAGTAGCTTCCCGATATCATTAAGGTCATCATCTGTTACATTTGACGTGTCCTCCAGATCCAGCACCCGGACTAGTCTCATATTAATATTGGTAGATATGAAGAATGGCCTCCACTCCCCGAACACCGTCAAAGACCTTAGTGATGAGAAATCAATGCTCTCAAACACATTAATGTCTCTATCCCAGCTATTCCTTATGGTGAGGTGTTGTCCAACAACTTGCGAATTCAGACTGCAATGCCCCTCCAGAGAAAAGAAAAGATTATCTTCCATTGGTCGTGACATGATGTATTCGTGGAAGAAACCATTGACTTGGCACATGGACTTGCTTGATGGCTGCTGGATTATGCTCAAGTCAACAAGTTCAGAAAACAACCTTTCTCCATTCTCTTCCGCGGTACCACTAGATGTTTCTCTAGAATAACCCTCTGCAATCCACCGCCTCAGCAAACGGCGCCGCCTAATGTTGTGGTTTGTATGGAATATTGGCAGATAGAAGATGCATGGCTTGAGTGAATCTTTGCAATCTTCAAAGTAGGACTGCATCCAAGAAAATAGACCTCTTAAACAGTCAAATTCGACGTTGGTTTCCAACATTTCCATAAAGTTTTCATTTATATTCTTCATCCCAAATTTATTGCGACGATACAAGTAGTCGCTTATTGCAGCTACTACTTTGCGGAGTCCACCACACTTGGCCAAGATATGTTTTGAAAGTTCCATCTCCTCCGGATTCAATATATTGCAGTGGGGACCAAGTATCTACATTGATAAAAGAAATCTAACTATGAAATATATACAAATTCACTCCAAAATCAATGTTACATATAAACAAATAAAATTAGAAATTCAGATAAATTTATCACCAAATTATGGTTCAAGGCTTGGTTGTCAAATGGGCAATAGTTTGCTTATTAATTAGGTTTGAAGAAATATCCTTTATTTTCATGTGGTGCAATCAAACAAACTTCACTGCTAACAAAATCATGTAGGATCGGAATGAGCATGATAGTACAACCATGTGTTTGCCTATTCTTTTGTTGCTGTAATCCTATGGATCAAACATGCCCGAAATTGTGAAAACAGGCCTGTAGGTCGGCTTTAATATTGCAGTTTAGATGCGGTAGTCACAGTTCAAATGTAAACATACTAGACATAGGCCCACTGATTTGGTATCAGCTGGCCCATGGTTGGAGGCCACATGTCTAACTTTCTTCTCCCAGAACAAACGAACTTCTTAAGAGCCTGGGAGGGTGTCTCAAAACAAAAAGAGCCTGGGAGGGCTCATGTTCTGGACCACTGAGTGGTTTTGAACCCTAGGATCTACTCCCTCCGTCCGAAAATACTTGTCACCAAAATGGATAAAAAGGGATGTATCTAGAATTAAAATACGTCTAGATACATCCCCTTTTATTCATTTTGATGACAAGTATTTCCGGACGGAGGGAGTATATCACGAAACTTAGAGCCCCTAGGTTCTAAGAGTCAAGCTTGTGTGCGAGTTAAATAACCTCGCAAGCCTCACAAGGCTATGAAGTAGACAAACTTGGCACTACTAGAACTCATATATTTTATGAATGATGTGTTGACAAAGGGTGGAAATAAATATTTCATGACTTTAGTTGATGATTCTAGTAGATATCGTTATGTGTATAAAGTATAAAGTTGATGCTCTACACTACTTTAAAATATATAAGGCAGAAATTAAAAAAATCAACTTGACTGATAAACTAAAAGATTTTGGTTAGATCATGGTGGAGAGTACGTTTTGAATGAGGTCAATTTATTATATTTTGGTTAGATCATGGTGGAGAGTACGTTTTGAATGAGGTCAATTTATTATGTGTGAAACATTGTATAATCCATGAGAGGTTAGTTCCCTATTCACCCTAGTCAAATTGGATTACTCAAAGGAAGAAAAACATAGTCTAATTGATTTGTTTAACACATTGGTAGATACTTCCAAGACATTGATGGGGAGATGACATTGCCATCTCATCATATCCTTAAAAAGTTCTGATAAAAGATAAAGATATTAATCACTATGAAAAGTAGGAGAAGAGAGGACTAATAGTAACTCATTGTGGACTTGGGGTTGTTTTGAGAAAGTCAACTTGTCAATTCCCAATAAACTTAAGCTTGAACCAAAAATCATGCATTATGTTTTTCTAGGCTATTTTTGAACACATTGTTGGATAATGATTTATAGTACTCTGGAGTAGTGAAATTTGACATACTTGACCTGAAGGTCGGTACCATTATAGAGTCTAAGGAGGCTACGGATTTTAAGGATATTTTTCCTCTGGGAGATATCCCTAGCATTTGTTAGCACATGAATATAACGTAACTCTTGAATATTCCATTTCGACGGAATATTATGAATGAACCCATGACAAAAATGCTGAGAATGGAGATAACGAAGCTCCTAAAAGGGGCCAAAGATAGATGACTACAATGTCTGTTGATGATGATTTCATTGTGTACCTTGTGGTTGATAATCCGAGTTCCATTTCTTTCATCTCGAGATGGTGGTTGCTAGAAGGAAGATATCCCTAGTATATCAAGCATTGTGTTCCGTGAACGATCCTGGCTCACATCCATGCAGTGTGCGCTTTGTATTATCCAGATGGATAATCAATTGTGATTAATTTTTCTCGAGTCACATTAACGGCGCTTCTGATTTACTCTGGTGTTGTGTTATCACGGACTCGATTGTGGGTTTATGCAAGAACTTACCCGGCCAGCTATATAAGGCAACCCATCTATCTCCTCGTGCATGTACCACAACAATCATTTTACTCTTTCTATGCCGCTCTCGACTACCCAACCTAACAACCATGTGCATGGTCGCACGGGAGAGGAGGCCTACTCAACCTCGCCTCTTATGAACCTGCACTAGGTGATGGGCGATAATGTTTTTTGGGAGTATCTTGGTGTGATTGCTCGCATATGGTCAACTACTATCCTTATGATGGCGTTGACTACTTCGACTACATTGTTTTCATCTCTATGGCTGCGGACACCACCGCTATTGTGGTCGTGTGCTTGTTGCTCATGCAAATTTCATAGCTGTGCTAGTTCAGTGTGTTATTTGTGCTTGTGTGTCTAGTCATTTGGGGTTAATATTGCTAGTAATATTGTCAGGATTTTAATCTAGATTAAATTATCTCAACACATTGCTAGTTATTTCAACATATACTGCATATATGTGTAAATAGTACTACAATATCTAGAATATTGTTTCAACCTAAAAATAGTATAACAGAGCTTGAGAGTAAACATACCTTTTTGAAGAGACAAAGGGCCTCATCAGGTTCTAGCCCTTTGATGTTGACCACCGATTCAAAATTATTACGTACACAATAACTTGCCACACCTACTTCATTTGTAATGACAACGGTAGTGCTTCTAGAACCACCATATAAGGAGGCGGCTTTTATCAAGTCCCATTCATCCTTTGACTGCAGGCCATCAATGACAACGAGGCACTCCTCTTCAGTTAATATCTTACGACACCTTTGAATTGGGTCCTGACCTTCTATGATGCTAATTGCTGCCGCTTCCTTGGCTTGAAGATCGTCAGAATAGAAATCTAGAAGTAGGCGCCAAGAAAATTCTGTCAAATTGAAGGGATGGGGCACATCGACCCAGCTATAATAGCTGAACATTTCTCCAATGTATTGTGAGTCTAAGTAACCAAGTATGCGGTTGTAGTATGTGTTTCTGACAAAAGCTGATTTCCCAATACCAGCAATCCCCCACACTGCAGCCACATGCCCATTTCTTTCTAGTGAAAGTTCCTCATCAACCCCAAATTTTTTAGTCCAGACACGTGCCTTTTTCTTTCTGCGACCCTACAATGTAGAAACATAGTTGTTAAAATGAAGAATTCAAATTTTCCTAGCAGTGTGTAGATTGCAACAAAAGAGTAAACATGGGGGATATTAGAACTGGTGTTAAGAGTGTATCAAAGAAGAGATCGAGTAAACATGGAGAAGTGAGAAAGCAGGTTCGATATTTTCCTATAAATCTACTGTTTGGAACAACATAAAAATAGAGAAAGGATTGGTGAGTAAAGATACCTCGTCCTCCAGATATTCAGAGTTGATGGCTCGATCTTCTTCATCATCAACACAATGTTTGGCCACCCGTTCTTCATTTGTAATGACAACAATACAACCTTTAATAGGCTGCGATAAGAAGGTACCTTTGATCCAGTCCCAATCTTCTGTGGACTGCAGACCATCGATGACAACAAGGCAGTCCTTTTCATGTAGTGTCTTACAACAACCTTCAATTAAGTCCGAGTCGACAGCTGCAACTTCGTTGGCTTGAGGACCCCCTGAATCATCCTGGTCGGCTGACACGACTTCCTTGGCTTGGAGACCATCTGAGTCATTATCATCTGAATCATCATCATCATCATCATCAGTATCATCAGAATCCACAGGTAAGCGTCGAGGAAAGTCCATCCGATTGAGCGGATTGGAAACATTGACCCATCTGTACGTTTCAAAGCTCAATTCTAAATATTGTTCCTGATAATTGTGTTTTATGCAGCGGTACAATTCTTTGACAATATTTAATTTTCTCTGAGTGCGACCATGCACGGAGATCACACCGCCTTGTCTTATCAGTCGTTTAAGTTCATCCCTATCACGGCGACGGCATGAGGAGACCTGCAAGTAAGAAACAAAGATGTAAATTTCCTGACTTTGTTACTTAATTCTAAGAATTCAGTTTATGAACTAGTCCAGGATTCAACCTTGTCCCCCTTTCACGTCATGATCTTGATGTGCAGTTATAGTCTTATACATAAGGTGGTAGATGAAAGAAATTTTGCTCAATTGTAGAATTGTTCGGTTGACATTTTTTTTACATTCTTATTAGTAATCTGAAGCTTGGAGATATATTTTATCAAAGTGATTCCATATGTTTAAGTATGTTATTGTAATACTAAAATGTGAATACAGCCTGCCATGGCCTGATACAAAAACGCAGCTTCCCCCGACTTGGCTCTCGCGACCGCATCGCCCCCGCGGGCGACCGGCCGCGCCCCCGGCACCTCCTCCCTGAGCAGTTCCCCTTCCCTCCCTCCTTGCCGCCATCGCTGGCGTCCGGCGCCGGGCGCTGGCCTTTCCCCTCTCAGGTCGCACTGACGCGGGGCGGTGCGGCGCCGCGGGCTGCTCCTAGGCGGCAACGGTACGTCATGGCAGCGTGGCTCTCCGGCGTGGTGGCGAGTGATCTACTAGACGGCAGCGCTGCCGTTGGCGGCGGGGCGGCGCCCGATCGGCCCAGATCTGGGCCCTCTGGGGCCCATCTAGGTTTTGGCGGGCCAGCGGCGGGGAGGGCCGTCAGAGTGGCTTCGGGGAGGCAGGGAGCGATGATGCGCGGGTGGTGGCTGGCGGCGCTGGTGCGGCCCTGCTGCAGCGTGGCTGGCAGGGCTTTACGGGCCCGATTTGGGCCTGGCCGGGCCAGGGGTGGCCTGGTATGCCCTGCTACTGCGTACGGACGACGACCGCGACGGTGCCGGAGACTCGGGCCTCCCGCACGACGGCGGTGGAGGTAGTTCCCTCCCGCGTGGCTATGGTGTTGCTGCTCCCGTCGCCTCGTGCATCTCTCTCCATCCTCTTGGTCTCGTGGTGGTAATCCCAGTGAGGCGGCGTGGGTGGCGTCAAGACCGCAGTGGCACATGCTGGTGGGTGACGAGGTGATTGGTTGGCTCTAGCCTGGTTGGGCGCTGGGGTTTGGAGTACGGGAGAAATCCCTTGGCGGCTCTTCCAGCTCCGATGCAGTGACACCTGCGGGTGCCACCATTCCTTCCTAGAGGGTGTCGGAGGTATCCATCCCCAACTCCCTTCCGCATGCCTGGGGAAACCCTAGGACATGTCCGGGCAGCAGCGCCGTCGGCGTTGCATTCCTTCTTGGAGGTGCTGCTTGGTACGCGGCGGATCGGAGCCTTGGTATGTGGTGGGTCGATTCCGGAGGGCGCAGCGGTGGCTAGTCATCCGTGCTTTGTCAAGCTGCCGTTATTGGCATTTCTTTATTCTTCTTTGTTCTTCCTTTTTTTTCTTCTGGTCTTGTTGTACTTCTCGCCCGAGCATTGCTATGTGATCAGTGTTGGTTGCTTTGTAATACAAAGCGGGGGGAAACCCTTTTTCGGTAATATTAAAATGTATGTGGGTGTGCTCGCGCGCAGAGCAATAGCAACAACAGTTGGCACATGCGATTTTGTATACAGTCACACAAAATATGCTTTTGTTTTGCGAAGGTTGGATGGTTAGAAGGACAGTGGTATCCCCAGCCCACCAAGGTTCAAGTCCTGGTGCTCGCATTATTCATGAGTTTATTTCAGGACTTCCGACGATGCGTTTTCAGTGGGAGGAGATGTTCCCGTCGACGACGAGGCGCCTACGGTGACTTCATAAATCTCAAGATGATATGTCGGCTCAGTCTTTCGAAGGTGCTCATAGGGGTAGGGTGTGCGTGTGTGTGTTCATACGGGTGAGTGTATGCGTGTATGTATGAGCGCTTGCGTCTGTACTGTGTTCAAAAAAAATATGCTTTCCTTTTTTATGCTATTAGTCTGTTTCACATAAAATAGGAATGCTCCACAAATTCAAACATTGGACCATAGATATTCTTATGCAAAATATTAAACCATATAGGCAGATGTTTGGAGCTACGTACAATCACCAATGGATCTCAATGAACAAACAACGGGATGCTATATCAAAATGCATGAAAATTTGATCTATATATTGGCCAAGATAAACATTTAGATCAACGTCTCCCTGAGAAATGACAGAAGTATGAGATATGTTATTTAGAGACATAACTTGGTCTCCTTTTAGGGAATTTAATTATTTTTATGGGCTAGCCTAAAATAATAATTTCAAGAAAATAATTGATTTTGTTCTAGGTTTACAGGCTTACCGTCTTGAAAAATGCACAAATGGATTGACCGTGAGAGAAGTGTCTGAGCTGTGACACTTCATATGGCTCCCCAGTGCACATAAGTGCAACCCCTAAGTCATGGGCAGACATGACAATCCGACTGCCATTCTTAGAGTCAGGCAGGTACATTTTGATGGCATCCCACTCTACCAGAGTGGATACCTCTTCCAGGACGACGAGATACCTATTCCCTTCCATGATTTGCTCAGCCTTGATGAGATCGTCTTGAGTAACTGGTGCTGCTGCTTTCATCCGTGTCCGGAAGTCCTCCATTCCCACAGTTGCTTGGTGAGAGCTTGTGCATAACTGAATCAGCAGGCTCTTGAGGAACTCCTCCCGGTTAAAAGGATGCATCAGCTTTATCCAGACCCGGATCTTGAATTTTTCCATGATTTTTCTGTCACAATACGCCTTTCTGAATATGGAGGTGGCTCCAAGATCACCTGCTGTGCTTCCCCATACGGAGATGACCTCAAGGTCATTGCTTTCACGAGTGATGAGATCTTGGAGGTTGTGGATGTTGCGTGTCCTTCCAGCAGCCTCCCACACTTCCCATAGGAGAGGGAATGCTGTTGATGGTGATGGGTTGGCCGGGGCCGAGTGCTCCACCTGCACGGTGATGGTCTTGGCATGGGAGCCGGAGTCGCTGATGAGGTTGTAGCGTGTGTTCCTCTGGCTAACATCCTCCACCCTGGCCTTGAGCATTTTTATCTCGGCGGCTGCCTCGTCGAGGTGCCGGTGCCGCTGCGGTACCACGCAGGACGGCACCATGCGCCACCACCACGTCGACTTGTTGTCCAGATGGACAACAAACTCGACGCAGTCCTCCACGTCAAAGGCCAGGTCACGGAGCTGCCTCACCCAAGTACGCACCACCTCATTCTTGGCGCGCTCCTTGTTGGCGACGTTGAGGAAGGACTGCATCATCTGGAACTCGGCGGTGATGAACACCAGGTCGTGATGCACCTTCTCCTTGAGCCTCGCCTCCTCCTCTATCGCCGACTTGACCCTGCTCAAGGTCCCCTCCACCGCCGTCTTGGTCAGCCCAAGCGCGAAGTCCGCCATTGTTTGTTTGTTCTCTCAGTGGAAGCTCTCTCTTTCTCTCTGCGGGTGGGATGTGTTGTATGGTTTCTGCTGGTGGGTGCAACTCAGCAGTGGGCATGGGTTTATGAAGCCGAAAGCACTCCAAGAAGGAAGGGAGCATAAATTCGTTGCGTGAGCCAAATCGAGTAGGTACCTTGACAGAGGTGGACATGCTTTGGTCCAGCTCATCAGAGGTAATGCTTGCTTTCGTGAAGAAGAATATGTCATCACATCTCACCACGCTTCCTTGGATGCTAAAACTCCTCTGCGTGCATGATACGTTTCAATCCTTTTCTTGTCCTAGACAGGAAGCCACACAAAGCTGCTAGAGAGTCGGAGGATGGTGCTTTGCTTGGAGCTTTCAAACACTGTTTCCGTTTCCATCTACTATACGGAAATGGTGCTTTACTTTGAGCTTTCAAGAGAGGATGGTGCTTTACCTGAAGGTTTTATTAAACACTGTTCTGTTTGAAGTACAAACATGTTAGTTAGGGATTGGGAGATATAGAGATTTGGTTTAATAAACAAACAATGACTT